GGATCAACGCTAATATACCTAACTAAAAAATATATAAAAATTCAAAAAATGAAAGTAGGCGACACACCTTAAAACCCAGTGTGGAGAAAGCCACTTTGAGAAAACCACTTTGGTGAAACGCGTTGTGGATATTTTAACTGTTTGTTTTACATTGTATTTTAATAAAGGCATTTTGGCATCTTTCTACCATGAGTGTGCCATTTCACTTTTTTATTATTTTCTACCTGGCATCCGATTTTAAGTTCCAGTAAGGACTACTCCAAAAGAATCCACGGTGGGGATCATACCACTTACGCCTACACATTGAGCAGTTATGTCTGTCCAATTAAATGTGAGTACTTATTCTTTATTCTATACTCCTGGTACCTTTTATACTGTGAACACTATTGCTGTCTCTTTTATATATTTCATGATCCTCATACCGATGATACATTTGCCTACCTACACCGTCTCACATATCCTATAAGTGGGGATTATACCACTGTACGCCATTCAGCAGAGGCGGCCAGGGCTGGACTGGGCTTTAAAAGCAACCCTGGAAAAAATATATTTACCAGCCCCATAATGCGTCACGCAGAGTTAGAACAGATAACTTAAAATTAAAAAGTACTTCAACGTAAAAAGCGCACTCATAGGCTTCAAAATAAACAAAAGTGCAGATTTATTTTAAGCAGACGTGTCTTTGCATGTAATCAATGTTTCAGTCCAACTACCTTGACATATTAAGGAAAGCTTGTTAATGGGACTGAAATGGTGAATGTATGTAGGGCACAACTGTAAAAAATGTTTATTTTGAAGTCCTGTGGGTGTGCTCTTTACTTTAAATATGTTATTATGCTGGAGTATGCAACTAGCAACAAGACTGGGCCAAAATCTGCTCATAACATATGGTACATGTGGCAAACCTAGCCACTTGGACTATATCAAGAGACTATACCTTTAAGGGTTGCCTATATGTCGGTGGGGATATGTGTTCATCTATGTACAATGTATGCGGGCTGTAATAACTGTGTATTCCCTGTATTTGCTATCCGCCGAATGCAGATAGCTATTTGTATGAGGTTTTCCTTTAGTTTCACGAACGGCACTTTGGCGGGCCGTTCGTGAACCGAAAACACTACACATAATAGCCCACACACTTAGAGGCGTGTGGCGCTTGTTAACCGATTGCAACAATGTTGCAATCGGTAATTAGAGGCTCTCCGAGGTGGCCGCCGTTCGACTACCGACCATTCGGCAGTCGGCCATCTTGGATCCTTTGTTCCCTCAGCGGTGTTAGGTCGTCGAGCGCATGGAACTAAAAATGGCTACTCGACGGCGCGAACACCGCTGAGCCTCCAGGACGTTCGGGAGTTCCGGGCCGTTCGGCATTTCATTCCCTGGAAGGCAATCGGTCTTTTTAATATGTTTTCCAATGAATGTGTTTTTCATGCGGCGTTCGGTTGTTTTAGCTGGGATCTCACGAATGATGCGCTCAGACCCCAGCTATCTACCGAACGTCCATTCGTGCAAATAGACTACATATTCGAAAAGTTATGCATTTTCATGTGAATTGTCGGTTCTGCTGCACGGAGGGATAATCCACTTAACGGTATATTCCAGTGGGAGGATCCCTCTCGTGCAGCAGTGCCTGATGGGAGAAATAGCTTGTACAATAAGTCCCCCATGTAGTCCCCTCTGGGAATGCCCCTGGGGACTTGTATAAATTGGGGAGCTGAAATAAAAGACCTCAGTTGACTCTCAGAACTGTGTTTCGTCCGGTTACTGGGAGATTTGGGATATTGCCTTGTTGTTTCCAGCGCTTGACTGTGGATTACTTCCTGAACCAGCGGAATTCGTGGATTTAATATTGGCGTTCCGCTACAGTACATATTAATGACATTTCTCTGTGTATTATGCATATATAAATGTACATTAATATGTGTAAATATAATAGGCATAAATATATATATATATATATATTTATATATATATATAACTAATACACACATTAATATACATGTCATATACCAGTGGCGGATCCAGAGCCTGAGCCCGGGAGGGGCACTTGTAGATTATTTAAAGAAATATTCCATGCACAATAACCACTACTCCTCTGTGTAGTGGTTATGGTGCCAGGAGTGTCGGCACCCCCTCCCAGAGTAAGTAGTCAAACCGTTTAAGAACAGTTTAACAACTTACCTGGAGTCTGCTGGGATATGGGGCTGTAGTAGGTTATAGGAGCAGTGGTGCAATGTGTGATGGGTGCAATGTGTGTGAAATGTTCAGTGTGTGGGTGTGGGGGGGCAGTGTGTGAATGTGTATGGTGTGTGTGGGGGCAGTGTGTGAATGTGTATGGTGTGTGTGTGTGGGGGCAGTGTGTGTATGGGGCTAGAGTTCACTCTTACTACTGCGACCACCAGGAAGTGGTGAGAGTGAACTCTAGCCCATAGCTCCAGGGCTAGAGTTCACCCTAGTGAGAGCCGGAGCGTTGCCCCGGGTCCTCTCTTCCTCCCCTGCCGGCTGCCTGCACGGTGCCTGTGGAACAGGGAGGGAGATCGGCCGGCAGTGGAAAGCCTCGTGGGGTAGGGAATTGCCCATTGCCCCCCCATCCACCAGTGATATATACTGCCCCTATGTGTGTCTCTTTATCTCCAGCCCCTCTGTGTGCCTTTTTGTCTTCCCCAGTCACTCTGTATGTTTCTTTCTCCCCCTCACTGCTCCTCTGTGTCAATGTCTCCCCTCTCCTTCCCAGGCTATCTCTTCCCCCTCTGCCTCTTTCTCCCCCTGCCCTTGTGTGTCTCTCTCATTTCTCCCTCTTTGTCTCTCTCTTCCCCCTCTGCCTCTTTCTCCCCCTTTCCCTGTATCTCTCCCTCCTCCACATCTCTTTTCTTTCCCGCTTTCCCTGTTTCTCTCCCTCCTCCACACCTCTCTTTCTCCCCCCTTTCCCTGTGTCTCTCCCTCCTCCCTCCACCATCTCTCTATTCCCCTCTCTGTTTTATCCCCCCCCTTTACCTAGAGAAGTCAGGGGGGCCGGCCGCGTTCCAGGCTGGAGACGCCGGGTGGCAGCTTCGCCGGTCCGGCGGCACTCCTGTCACTGATGCTGATGGCTGAAGGAGGAGGAGCATGTCTACCATGCTCCCTCGCGGTTCCTGTGCTGGGAATTGTGGGAACCACGAGGGAGCATGGTAGACATGCTCCTCCTCCTTCAGCCATCAGCATCAGTGACAGGAGTGCCGCCGGACCGGCGAAGCTGCCACCCGGCCCGGCGGCTCCAGCCTGGAACGCGGCCGGCCCCCTCTGAGTGTCCCACCGGACCGGTCACCTGGTGGCACCTATGTGGCAGCGCAGCCCCCAGGTGCCGTGGCCCACCAGGAAATTTCCCGGTATCCCGGTGGGCCAGTCTGGCCCTGGAGGTGGCTCTAGACTTTATGAGGCCTTAGGCGAAACTCAAACATGAGGCCCCACTAACAAAAAAGTGTCACATATACACATTGATGCACAGTTTACCTGTGTATGTGCCTGAGAGTGTTTCTGACAGAGATCCTTGTGTGTGTGAATGTATGTCTCTGTGAGCATGTTTGTGTTTTTGTCTGAGACCCTATGTGCATGGGGTAGCTGCTTGAAGTGTGTTGTGTGTATGGGGGGGTGATGGTGAGAAGGAGGGGGTTGATGGTGTGAGGTGGGTGATGGTGAGAGGGAGAGGCGGGTGATAGTGAGAGGGAGAGGCGGGTGATGGTGATAGGGAGAGGTGGGTGATGGTGAGAGGCGTGTGATGGTGAGAGGCGGTGATGGTGAGATGGGGTGATGGTGAGAGGTG